AAAACTTTTAAAAAAAAAGGAGACTAGAGAGAGGTATTAGTCTTGAAGAATTGGGTCATCTTCTACCCTCTAAAACTGAGGGGGAAGGATATAAGGATAAGTGCAGATATAGATGCATTTATTGACACGGGGTGGGGGGGTGGGAGTGGCGCAAGTGCGTCTCTGGAAGAGTTCCTTTTTCCTAGCGACGCGGAGGCAGGGGCATCTGCTGAGAAGGAGAGTGTGAAGCAAGTAGTGGTCAAAGATGAAGCTAGCCTCGAAAACTGGTAAAAACAACTCTAGAGTACCGACAGCTGAGAGCATAGCTAAATTGGAGACCAAATATTTTCAATGGCTTTAATATAGAGGAATATATGATTCTGCCCAGCACCTCTCACTTACCCAGGTGGAGATAGGAGAATCAGCCTGTCCCTGCCCTTGGCACGTTATGAAAGTACGAGGTTGAAAGTAACAGAAATAGTGACCATTTGCCCATAGTCCTCTCCCGTTTCTCATACTCCCCTGGGGCCTCAGTTATACAAACGAAATCTGTGCCTACAATTGGGACTGCCAAACACTGCTCTCAAAGGGACACAGCATTAAAAGAACAGAATGTCACTTCCTCAAATTCAAAGGGAAAAATCAAGTTGTTAATTAAAGCACTTTACCTGGGAATCTCGTAGTGTTCCAGGATTGCAGGTGGTAAAACAACATCCTTATATTCATCCTTTGATTAAATTCTATAGACCTCAAATTCGATGTATCCCCTTTCTTTCATCTAAGATAAAACAAAGAACACTCATATTCAAGGCTTTATGTATAATAGATAGGATTAGTAGGATTAAGAGCCACATGGCACATAAAACTATACAAATATTTAAATTATTCAGTATATGTGCCTATGGCACATAACATGACATCCTGCTGAGTCAAGATAACTTAAAACATCTGTTATTAACATCTTCATTCCCAGTTACCTTTATGAAAACTGGCCAATAAGAGAAAAATGTCTAGTTGTTAGAGTTAGGAAGGAACTTTTCTCCTCTCAAGCTAACTTAAGGAAGCTGCTTGAGGATATTGTTTCAAAATTGATGTTGGTTATTTTAGTTGATTTAATGAGGAGTTTTTCTTCTAAAAAAAAAAAACTTAAGGTGTGTCCTTTCATTATTCAAAAGAGAACAAAGACAATAGTAACTAAGTGACTATTGTATCATAAGATATTGCCAAGCAATGAAAATACTAATTATCCAGATAAAAGACTGTCCCTTGTTACACTTCCCTGCTCCAAGACCATTTATTCCTCCTTCCCATGAAGTCATTGCTCACGGAGATAGTTGCCTTTTCAATGCCTCAAAATAGGCAAACATGCCCAAAGCGCTGAAGTGAATTAATCCTATTTCTATACCTAAAATAATGCTATCACCATATCAGCATATTACTCACAAACATGAGTTTGAAAATGCTTTACATATATAAGGACAGATTTCTTAGGGAAGTCTTCTGATGTCGATGGATCATCATTGGGATCTTAATACTGGGATATAAAACAAGTCACTGGAGCTTAGATGTCAGAGATCCTATTAGCTTATTCACTAGGAAGGAGGCCAGAATTTACTTTGTAATTGTAAACATCCTGCACTGCTGAGAGAATAGCATAATGTAGTTAAAAAAAAAAAAAAGAAAACCCAATAGGTCCCCTTTTATATATTAAATATGTGAACACTAAGTGAAGAAGACTCAGTCACTGACCTCAAGTAGGTCTTTATAATTCTCATCTCTCTGAAAATAACTGTGGGACAACATTAAGTGAGCCCCTGGGTGTGGGAAAGCTCAGTGCCACGTGACAATACGGAAAGAACAGTAAGACTTGGTGCCGCTGATTCATTACAGTGGAGTCGTATCTTTCTTAGGACAGGGTTATTCCACAGATACGGAGAGGCATTTTGCTAGGTAAAAATTAAACATGTCTTGGGGAATTGTGTGGAGACACTTTGGCCATTTTTTCCCCTGCACTACTTGAACAGATCATTGTTTCTTTGGCTGGCCCCCCAGGTTAAACTTAGAAACTATGTCATTTGAAAAATATGTATTGTTAAACAATGCATGTACATTTGAAAATATGGTTTTATTTTGTACTTTTTAAAAACCATCAATGGGATCCCATTGTACTTATTAGTTTATTTTACCTCCTTAGGGTGTTTAGAAGGTCTTAAGCACTTAAGACAATGTGTGTTTTCTAAAAATGGCCACAGCAGTATTTCTGGTCCCACATGTTCTCTACAAACTTTGCTTCTCCCTATCAAGAAGTAGAATCTATCTCCCCTGCCTCTGAACCTGGATGAGGCTTTATAAGGGCCTGGGTAAAGAGAACGCAGCAGAATTGACACTGCATGACTTCTAAGGCAGATAAACCATAATATGCTTCTACCTGGCTCTTGCTCTTCTTAGGATACTCACCCTTAGAACCTAACCCTCATGCTGTGAGGAGCCCAACCAAGTCCACATTAAGAGACCACCTGCAGAGGTCTACAGGGAGTTGAGCTGAGGTCTCCAGCCTGCAGCCTCCAGCCAGTATCAATCACCAACATGAAAGTGAAAACTTTTCAGAGGATTTCAATCTTCAGCCTTCCAGTTGAGGCCCTATGCATAAGGGAGCAGAAAAAAAGTCATACCTGCTGTGCTATCTCAATTCCTGACGCACAGAATCTGTCAGCATAATAAATGGTTGTTTTTTACCACTACCTTGTGGGCGTAATTTGCAATGCAACCATAGTACCTGGAAGTGTACCAATATATTTTATTATTAATTATTCAATATATTCTATCATATTCAATCTTTCAAACAATAACATAATTAACTATAGTATTTTGGTATCTTAAGCTTAATCATCCTGTATTGATAGACACTTAGGTGGTTTGGACTTATTTTTTCCTATTATAGACAAGGCTGAAATAAACATTTACATCTCTTTGTACACAGATGCCAGTATTTCTACAAAAACCTATAAATCAGTTTTTGTAAAAACCTATAAATGAGTTAATAAATACATGCAAGATACTTACAGCAGTGCTAGCACAGAGTAACACATTATTTTTATCACTACAGATTGAACTTCTAGATGGAACGTGATAGCTTTTCCTTGCTGTCTTTAGTGACAAGGATCCTAACAATTGTACCTAACTGCTATGCTACAGTAGAGGCCACTTTCTAGAGTTTAGATCAAGGCGGAAAAGTTGTAAACATAATCAGTCACAGATTATGTCCCTGAAAACATCCATCTGCTGCTGACATGACTAGCTCTACAAATCAGTTTTCAAAAAACTTGAGTTTGCTCCGTGGGCTGGTGAGTTACAAGAACAGAACTGCTGGAAATCACCGATTGCGGACTACAGGGGAAAGAGCGCAGCCACATGCTCAAGTGCGTGCGGCTGTTCTATCTGCATCCGCCTGGGCAGACCACTTGGTGGAGTGACTGGGGAGAAGGTTCAGGACGTGTCTTTCCCGGTGACAATTTGTGTCATAAGTTTAGGAGTGTGCTTTACCAGACGTTGTCACTTTCTTCCACCATCTCTAACTCTTCCCCAGGCGTGCTTGCATCTGTCTAGCACTTTAAATCACATTTACCTCTAAATTCCTGGGCGGAGTGAAGGGGACAAGGAGAGAGGAAGAGGACTATCTGTCCACCGTCTCTGGTCTCAAAGGGGCAGAATAGTTAAACTTAATTCACACTGCAAACAAACCAGTTTTCAACAGCTTTTAACTTCCTGTCTCTCTCGATTTTCTCCCGTTTTGCTCCATTTTTAAGGGACTCGGGTAACCACCCTCCTTTCTCTGCCTTCCTCCCCCGCCGCTCCTCGGGTCAGGGCAAAGGTAGCACAGCTGAGGAAGAGCATTTTTAGGAGAGTGGCGTGGTCAACAAGCCACAAGCGGGCGGGCTTCGCGACAGCTCCGTGGGGGCGACGGGGTTGGCAGAGGGAGCGCCCGTCCCGCCTATCTCTCCCCGGTCCTGCGTCGCAAGCTCCGCGGGCTGAGGAGTCCCAACGCCGAGGACAGTGCACTAGGCGCCGGAGACTCCAAAGCCCTCAGCGACTTCCCCGCCCCACAGCCCCACCCATTAGCACGCAGCCTCCCCCAGAGCCCACAGGAGACACCTTCGTCCCCGCCCCTC